GTTCTATTCCAATCTTTACACTGAGAATGAGCCATGGAGACCTACTTTTGATTTGACAGGCTGTCCTATAGTCACCAATGAGGAGAATGAATGGCTTCAGAGACCATTTACAGAAACAGAAGTGTTGCAAACTATCCAACAGTGTGATGGAGACAAAGCCCCTGATCCTGATGGTTACACCTTGAAATTTTTCAAGGCATGCTAGGAGATCTTGAAGGAGGACCTAATGCAGACTATTCATAATTTCCACCAGAGGGGAGTCTTTGAAAAATCTTTCAATGCCACCCTTGTAGCATTGAACCCAAAGAAGCCTGGAGTTGTTGAGCTTAAGGATTTCAGACCTATTAGCCTAATCGAGGGGGGGGGGTTACAAAATCATCTCTAAACTCATAACTGAAAGGCTTAAAATAGTTATTGGGAAGCTAGTAGATGAACACCAAATGGCATTCTTGAAAGGGAGACAAATACTTGATGCATCCTTGTTGGCTAATGAACTAGTTGATTCAAGGGTTAAACAAAAGCAACCTGGAATCCAATGTAAATTGGATATTGAAAAGTCTTATGACCATGTCAATTGGAATTTCCTCCTCAAAATTCTGAAAGACATGGGTTTTGGTAGTAGGTGGATTAAATGGATCAGTTTCTGTATTTCCAGTGTGAAGTTCTCCCTCATAATAAATGGCAACATAGAAGGCTTCTTTCAATCCCACTGGGGTCTTAGGCAAGGGGATCCCATGTCACCTTTTTTGTTCGTATTAGCTATGGAAGGGTTAAATCATATGCTCGGAACAACAAATGCTAATAGATGGGTGAAAGGTTTCAGTGCTCAGACAGGTAGAGGTGAAGATCTTGAAGTGTCTCATTTGTTTTATCCAGATGATGCCTTAATTTTTTGTGAAGCAGAGATAAGTCAGATCAGGCATTTGAGAGCCATCCTAACAATTTTTGAAGGCATCTCAAGTCTCCATGTAAATTGGCTGAAAAGTCACATTTCTCCTATCAACCAGGTTTGGAATTTGCAAGATCTGGCTGTTATTCTGAGCTGCCAAGTGGAATCTTTACCAACTAAATATTTGGGATTGCCACTAGGTGCTAAAAACAAAGAATTAAAGGTGTGGAGTGGGGTGTTGGAAAGGTGCGAGAATAAACTATCTAGGTGGAAAAGTCAATATCTCTCTTTAGGGGGCAGATTGACTCTCACCAAGTCAGCTCTTGATGGCATGCCTACATACATGATGAACCTTTTTCCCATACCAAAGAGCATTGAAAAAAAACTCAATAGAGTTAGGAGAGCCTTTCTATGGCAAGGAAACAAGGAGAAGAGAGGTTATAACCTTCTGAAATGGGATGAACTGACTCTCAACACTCAACAAGGGGGGCTCAACCTGAAGAACCTCAGTAAACAAAACACCTCTATCTTGCAGAAATGGCTTTGGAGGTTCTCCTTAGAAGAGAGGGCCATTTGGAGAAGATTCATAGCCGGAAAGTATGGCTTACTCAATCACTGGACAACTGAGGAGGTTGCGGGAACCTTTGGATGTAGTGTCTGGAAAACCATAAGAAGATTATGGCCTCATTTCAACAACAACATGTCAATCACTGTTGGAAATTGTTTGAAAACTGATTTCTGGAATGAGGTGTGGATTGGAGAAGACAGTCTTAGAAACTCTTTTTCACATCTTTACACTTTGAGTACGCAAAGGAACGTCTCTGTATCCCAAGCTTGGAGTCAGCAAGAATGGGATCTTGTTTTTAGAAGAGCACTAAATGACTGGGAAATTGGGGAAGTTGCTAACCTATTGGGAGTACTAAACTCACAC